CATGTTCTTAATTTTTTGATAGAAGTTCATATATACTTATGACATAAATTGGCTAGCTTTAAGAAGCTACGACAGCAGGACTTAATTCTTCAGTGTTTTAACCTCCCACAAAGGCAAAATGCTTTAATTTGGACTACAATTAGCAGATTTTTATCTATACAGTACCTAGATATTTCCTCAGATGTTCCGGGATTTCTTAAGGATTCAGTGATTCAGTGTTTTCTGCCAAAGAAAAAGATTCTTAACTTTGGGGTGGGGGAGCAGCTTGGATCTCAAGGAAAATTAGTTTTCTGTTGGTGATGGAGTTGAAATTTTCTTGCCTGTCTTTTATTGCCCTTTTTCCTTGGTGTCCACTTGGCCAAAAAGGAGACTGGCTTTCACCTACATTGAGATCCCCCTCGAAGAACTGGGCTATAATGGAAACAATATATGGCACAAAATACAGATTTGTGACTCTTAACATGACTTTTCTTTCATGTATGGCTTTTAACATCTTTTGCCTGATTAAGAAGCCACTGAGCTTCAAAAGCTTGCATGATATGTTTTGTCCATTTTGCTTGGCCAAGAAAGGTAATAGCTTTTTTGTGAATTGTGTATTTTGTTGTATTTTTCTGCATGACCAACACAGCTATATCTGAATAGGTTTCATGTCGACCCCTTTGGACATTCTTAGTTCTAGAGACTTATCCAATGTAGTATGAGAGGTTCAGTATTGATGTTCTTTAGGTCATCATGACTTAAAAGAATTTTAAGGTTTTGTTACATTTTGAAAATTAATCTTGACTCTACTGACTTCTTGGGATTTCAGATGGTATAAATCCCAAATCAACTCTTTTTAGTGGAAGATTAAAATAAGGCATTTCCCTTTTCATGCTCTAAAAATGGTTTTCAATTTAGATTGGTAACATTATATAACATCGGTGCCAAAACTATTCATTTTAAATACTTCTGTGCCACTTTAAGGACCAAGATCTTCTCAGAACAGCATGCATACAGTAAAAACAAGTGAACAGATCTCCTATCATCATAAAGCTATGTTACAATAAACAATCTAGTATTGAAATAGAAGCTATAATGGATATGAAGATAGGAAAAAGTGCAAGCATTGCATTGTTGTCACTATATAACGTTAAGAAATTGTAAAAAACAGAGAAAGATGCAATAGACAACATGTTAACTGCAGCAAGATTACTGATAGCAAGGAACTGGAAAGGTAAAATAAATATACCAATTGAAAAATGGTATAAAGAGCTATGGAAACTAGAAATAAACGATAAATTGACATGTAGGTTAAGAGTCAGGAAAGGAGTATGGAAGGAAAACTACTTTGATGAAGTTTGGGGAAAATTTATTGAGAACGGCTTAAAAGAAGAAGATGGGAAATTACCTCCACAAGAAGAAATTGTATTTTGGAAAGAGAATGTAAATTGAAGTGGCTCGGAGGAGGGACGGGGACAGAGGTGAACAAAAAAAAGTATGCAAGATATATATACAAATAAATATAGTTGATGTAATGAATTGAGTATTGGATATAAGAGTATTGAAGGTATTGATGTATTTTAAGAAAACCAATAAAATATATTTTTAAAAACCAATCTAGTATTGAAAACCATAAATCAATTAAAAACGCTGCCCACTCTCTTACCAGCAATACAAATTATTTACAAAACTGCACCACCTACTTAGAAAAAGGTCAAGGGGTTGTACAATGAAGAGATTAAAAGTTCACATAAAATCCAAGGAACAAAAAAATACAACATTTACAATCACATTTTATATCTCTACTTACTGTCTCCCACATAAAGTTCTCTAGATAGGTGGCAGAGGTTCCTACTCAGCATGCACAACAGGACTTTTCTAAGACCCTGTCTATCAAATGTGCCAAAAATGACTGTAATAAAGGAAACCTGAAATGCCTTACACTGCTTTGCATGGGCATATAACACATACAGTTGGTCCATGGTTTAAGTAACCACATATTCAACCAATCGCAGCTTGAAAATATTGAGGGCTGTGGGGGATTCAAAAAAGCAGACCTTGATTTTGTTGTGTACGGCTTACTGTGTCATTATATATAATGGAATTTGAACATCCTTGGCTTTTGGTACCTACGAGGGGTCCTGGAACCAAATTTCAGCGGATACCAAGGGCCAACTGTATTCTTTGAAGTGCAAAGCTCCCTTGGAAAATGTTGTTGTGTGGCTTCATATCATTTCTGACAACCTTACCACAGAGTTTCCTGGAGATGATAGTGCATGACTTGCCTAAGCTTACTCAGTGGGTTTCCATGGCTAAGAGGAGAATTGAACCCTGGTCTCCAGAGGCATAGTCCAACATTCAAAGCATCATATCATGCTATCTTACTGCTTAAAAGACATCTGCTCCTTTGTTCAATCTGGCACCATTCACCCCGCCCTGTTTGCAGATTCTCTATATCCTCTTTTGAGTTTCCTATGTTACCTTGAACAGTGGGAGTTTATGACAATATCATCAGGTCTGAAGTTTCATTGCCAGAAATGCAGAACAATCCCTTCTTTGATAAGAATTTCCTACATGGTTATGTTAACCCTTGGGTTAAATGATGGGAAATTCCCTTGGGTACTGGCTAAGGAAGTCTTCCCACTGATCTCACTGCAACTGTTGGTGTAATGAGGAGGAGGCAATTTCCTTCTTCCGTGCACCTGTCTGCATCTACTCGCATAAACTGCTCTGATGGCGTATAGGAAGGTAAAAGGAAAACATATTTCCACTTGTATAACTTTGGATTTCATCTGTTGATTGCTACAGCAGAATTTTCTCAAAGGTTTTGGGTAATCTCAGACCAAACTAGAGTTTATGAGGAAAAGGTGATGTTCTGGCTTTTTCTCTGCCCCAGAAGTATGGTAAACCTAGAAATAAGAGCCGAGGGGAAATATTGCAATATAATATATTTTTACCCATTTACAGAGGAAAATATTGGGAATATGAAGATTGGCTTATTATTCAGCAGTGATCTAATAGCCTGTTATAGTTGGAACGAAAACAGGGTGAGCAATTTCCAAGAGATAGAGAGCCCTGGAATCCCCTTTCCTAAGTTTTGCGGAGTAGGTAATTCTTTTTTTTCCACCCCTGGAAATTTCTATATAGCTGTGATCTGGCAGGCAGGCAGGCAGGCAGAAATGGCCAATCACATGGTGCCTACTTCGTCTACCTCAAATCTAAAGGTCATGTATCAAGTGTGTGTGTATGATTTAGCTACCTGGCTATGTCTTGTTTTTAAAGAGCTCAGAGTAATAACTTAAGCAGTTTTAAGGTATAGCTTCCTCTGCAAACGAGTAGCTCCGATGCCCTTCTGTTTCAGAACAATCATACAGCACAACAACAGAGAGGAAGCAAGCAGGGACATCTAATTACCTCTCAACAAAAGTTTGCTCCAGGCACGATCAGCCCATTGTATGCTAATCAAGGTGGTCAGTTGAAACATTCACACCTAGCTCCAGCAGACAAGAGTCCTTTGTCTCACCCTGGTCATTCCACAGATATATAAACCCTTTTTCCTAGTTCCTACAGACCTCACTACCTCTGAGGATGCTTGCCATAGATGCAGGCAAAACGTCAGGAGAGAATGCCTCTAAACCATGGTCATACAGCCCAGAAGAAAAAAAAACCCTACAACAACCCAATCATACTTACTTTTCCCAGTAACCAAGGTCAAGTTTGCAGTGAGAGTTGCAAAGCATGAAGTTGCCCTGTGAACAATTGGAATATTGTTTGCAAGGCACAATTGAAGAAGGCTGAATCTGTGAAGACCCACTGAACGTTGTATCTTAAAAGGGTCGCCCAAGTGTGCATGGAAAACCTGTCACTCTTCTCCCTCTTCCATCATTAGGTTTGAGGGCTATTTATTTCTGCTCCCCTCCTCCTCCTCTGCTTTCCCTGCAGCTTTATGCTCTTTGAAGACAGCAGAGTTCAGAACATGACACACAAAACAAAATATATTGGTTTTCCCAAATGCTAGTGTTATGTGTTGTATGTCTGGAGACAGGGAATGTGCCACCATGTTTTTCTCTCTCTCTCTCTGAATGATCATGTGGCTGTTCTAGGGTGTTTTGTTTGTAATGGTTCCATCTTTAAGTCTCAAATAGGCTTGACTCCCGACTGACCTTGGTGGTGCTTATTGTTCTCCTGTTTCTTAGGTGGGGCACCGCAGCTTCCTCTTGATCCCTAACTTCCCACTTGTGAGATACCACAGCATTCATTCACCTTGTGATGTCCCTTTCCACACTGAACAGCACTGGCATCTGCCTGTAAGGGTAAGGTAAGTCCATCAAACCGCAGACAGTGATTTCAAGGGGTGTCACTTTTTTTTTCTTCAGTCTCCTCATTGAATGGCTTGGAAGCTGTACAATGAGCATTGGAAACTTCACAGTGGACTTGCAGTTGCCTTTACAGGGAAACTCCAGTGCTGTTCAGGAATGGAAGGCTTGTTATAGACAATGCATGCTGGGGTGTTCCTTTCTTTCTTTCTTTCTTTCTTTTGTGAGGGTCTGAACAGCAGGCAACGTCTGCTGATCCAGTCACCAGTGACCTTTTCTCTTGGCCAGAGAGTGGGATGGAAGGGGAAATTAGCAATACCTCTTAGGCTACCGGGCATTTCGAGGCCATGTTTTAGAGCTGCACATTACTATATTTCCAGTACAGTTGTGTGCTTAAGTCTCTGCAAACTAAGAGGTACCAGATAAGTCTGTTTCTCTTCCTGTTGCATGCCTGTTATTTTTCTGTGCTTTGCATTTAATCTTATTTTCACCATTAAGCATTTCATGGAATAGTATTGTCAATGAAACTACTAACAATTGACTTTCCCACAAAGCCAATGCCATTTGTCTCACTAAAATTTATTTGCTGTGTGTTTTTTTTCTATTACTTTCTATATTCATCCTTTATTTTAACTAGTGTTATGCAAATTCTGTTGATGCCCCTTTTCAAAATTTCACTTTGAAGCTCAGTGTTTTTGCTTTTAGTTATCTACCATCTCCCTCCCTTCTCCCTCCATTCTCTGTTCAAATGGAGAGGATATAAAGAGAATGCAGAGGCTGCAGGGCTTAAACGCAAACGGTCTGAAGGTACAGTACTTGCAGATTTGTCTTCTTCTCTTCTTCTGTAGGAAGCTTTCCATTGTAGCTAGCATCTTTGGTGTAGTGTTGTAGATAAGTACACTGCTTCCCTCTCTGCATGATGCTTACAACTCTTCTCTTCCAAAGTTGGGAAAGGAGGACAAAAGCATTGTGGAGCGCCATGAAATCATCAGTGCATTGCTACAGAGGAAACCATAGGCTGACAATGCTCTAATAAACGTGTACTAACAATCCATTAGGAATCTAAAACACTCCCTATATGTCTTATATGTTAGAAATGAAATGATCCCATTCTCTTGGGAATGCAGGACTGCTTTTAGAAACTTGGTCAGATTATTTTGCTAGGAGCCAAACTCAAATTGCTTTGTCACATTGTTGTGTCTCAGCCCCTTATTTCACTTTTTTTTTTACATAGAGTAATGAAACGAGCTATCAAATGCCTTGTGTGCATAGTATGAGACAATTTTATTTTTTGAAACTATTTATATCCGCTCTCTCTACCTGATGTCAACTTCCTTTGAGGACTATATTAAAAAAGAATACATTAATGGACTTTAAAAAAGATAATCGTGTGGTATTTATTTATTTTTATTTATCGTGTCAGTGCAACCAGTCGATTATATTACATTTCTAACAGAACAAAGCAAAAAAAAAACCCAGACAAAATACGAAAATTGTGAGTTTGGTAGTTGATTAATAGTGTGGTGAAGGATAAAGACACAGAAGGGAGAGAGAAGGATGGGTATTGGATTGTTGGTCTTGCCTTACTAATAGACGTTGCAAAGTTTATTTCATTGTTTTTGTTTTGTTTAGTTGTTTAGTTCATGAATATAAATTGTTGCACCCTCTTTGTGTGAAAGAAACAAGGAGTAGAATAGCTAGAAATTGTGTAGTGATTTTTTAAAAAATCTCTCAAAGTAGATGTCAAGACCTTTCTATCCTTTATCAATTGGCAATCTAATGAGATAGAATTTTGTGCATTGTTGCCACTGCTTGGGCATGTTTATTCTTGTGGCAGCCCTGCATTTGTCTTGAATTGCCTGGCATGTCCCTGATTTATCCATTAAGAAACCCCCTTGTGATTAACCTGTCAAAAGGCAGATACCTGCAATCATAGAATCATAGAGTTGGAAGAGACCCCATGGGCCATCCAGTCCAACCCCCTGCCAAGAAACAGAAAAAAAGCATTCAAAGCACCCCTGACAGATGGCCATCCAGCCTCTGTTTAAAAGCTTCCAAAGAAGGAGCCTCTACCACACTCTGTGGCAATGGCTCTCACAGTCAGGAAGTTCTTCCTAATGTTCAGATGGAATCTCCAATTTCTTCCTCATAGTCTCTCTGCACCACACATATAAGTTTTGCAGTTCTTCTGCTGCACACTTGGTTGGATAGCCAGTCATTTCTACTTTGCTACAGCCATTATGTCTCCACTTGGTGGGCTTATTTACCTCCTTGCTGGATAACACATACATAATCCTCAGACTAGTTGCTTAGTACTAATACACTTGTCCTTTGCTTGACTGTGATGTGGTTACAAATCCTTATCATTCATAGCATTTCCAGCACTTGGCCACATAATAAACAAAATGTTCTAGCAGCACAAGACAAGCATTCATTTAGAAATCTAGAAATGCAAATGCAGGTTTGTAATGAAGAAGCAGCAGGCAGGAAAGAAGTTTCTCCATCTCTTAACTCCACATTTACCTCCCTCCAAAACCTTTTCCTGAAAAAGGGGAAAGAGCCAGTAGAGAGTTGTTTGTGTGTAAATGTCTGTAACATAGCACTTCATAAAACACGGTCTAAGTTAGACCTTTATCAGCATGTTCTGAGACTTGTTCACACAAGGCTGCCTTTCCATGCTCCGTCTTCTCTGCTTTTGCTCCAGAACCCTTCCACATAAGCCTTTCCTGTCTGCTACACAGATGAGTCATCTTGTTTCACTCTGTTCTGCTATGGAATTACTGCACTAGGCTATAAATATTTCAAGCACCTTGATGAAGGTACCAGATTTTTTAGAAATGCAGGCAGCCATGTGCGTCAAAAGAGATTTCCTGATTCAGTACAGTAATGCTTCCTCCAGACATTTACTTGGGAAGGAAAAGAAGGGAAATATCTGAATAGATCCTCCCTGGTTCTAAATTATTAAATGCACACCCCTGCTGAATGTAGACATTTGCCTATTTAGTCTGCCTCTTTTTGCTGCGTATTCTGCAAGCTCTTTCTACTTCTGTCCATGTAAAAACTGGACAAAAAGAGAGAGCACAGTGTTGACATATCATTAACTACATAAACTAAACTGTCAATTTTAACAATAATGATGTAGGACTGTGTTGAAAGGGTGAAGTGCAACATGAGAAAATCAAGCAGAACAAGGAAGTTTGTCTCACCTTTCCAGTTTCTGAGATTTTATCAGTCAAATCAGTCATTCAATATCACTGATGGATCAACATTACCAGACTTGTAAGGGACCTTAGACACCCACTCAGTGTCCTTTAAGCTAGGATCTTTCAAATTACACTTGCAGGCAGCATGCAGATACATAGAATACACACAGCCACATGCTTGCTTTTGTGTCTTTTCCCTTCCTGGCTTCTTAATCTTCCTGGCTTTGTGAGAGGTCCTGTGTCACCTTCTTTAAACTAAAGACAGTATTTTTTTTGCTGCAGCCATTCATAGTTTGAAGCTGAGTCGCAACCATGTCGACTGGCACAGTGTGGATGAAGTGTATCTCTACAGTGATGCAACAACTTCTAAAATTGCAAGGACTGTCACACAGAAGCTGGGCTTTTCCAAAGGTAAGACTATTTACATTTTTGTGCATTTGACAAAACATTCCTCCCCCTCCCCTAGTTTTAGTTCTGTGAAGGAAAGACTAGTCCATAGAGAATTTAGGATTTAAAACAGGTGCTTTTATTCACTATATCTAATCCGCTTCCATGGAGATTAGGACAAGGAACAATGGCTTCAAACTACAAGAAAGGAGATTCCATCTGAACATGAGGAAGAACTTCCTGACTGTGAGAGCCGTTCAGCAATGGAACTCTCTGCCCCGGAGTGTGGTGGAGGCTCCTTCTTTGGAAGCTTTTAAACAGGCTGGATGGCCATCTGTCAGGGGTGATTTGAATGCAATATTCCTGATTCTTGGCAGAATGGGGTTGGACTGGATGGCCCATGAGGTCTCTTCCAACTCTTTGATTCTATGATATGAAAGCTGTTAAAATAGGATTTGGCTCTCCATCCAAAAAATGAACAATAACTGTTCTGTTTTTACCCAATTTTTGTAGTTGATTGGATTATGAAGCCGGAGGTGAAAGGGGAAGCCCTTACCTTTGTTCTTTGTATTTGTGTGTAATTGTTATTCCATGGAGGCCCCAGTGGTGCAATGGGTTAAACCAGTGGTTCTCAGCCTTCGGCTCCCCAGATATTTTGGCCTTTAACTCCCAGAAATCCTAAGAGCTGGTAAACTGCTGGAATTTCTGGGAGTTGTAGGCCAAAACACCTGGGAACCCACAGGTTGAGAACCACTGGGTCAAACCCTTGTGCTGGCAGGACTGCTAACCAAAAGGTTGGTGGTTCGAATCTGGGGAGCGGGGTGAGCTCCCTTCTGTAAGTTCCAGCTTCCCGTGTGGTGACATGAGAGAAACCTCCCACAGGATGGTAAAACATCCAGGTGCCCCATGGGCAACGTCTTTGCAGGCAGCCAATTCTCTCACACCAGAAGCGATTTTCAGTTTCTCAAGTCACTCCTTACTTGGAAAAAAACTGTTATTCCACTGTAGTAAAGGTGTTTAATGTATGCCTATCTGTGTATGTTGTAATCCATTCTGTTTCCCCTGGGGAGATAGAGTGGAATATAAATAAAGTATTATTATTATGTGAACTGTGTGAAAGTTGGCACCAGGCTAATATTGTCCTGTTCTCTTGAACCTGTCTTGAATCAAATCAGGACTTTCTTTTTCTTGTAAGTGTTATTTACCGGTGCTGTTACATATATTTTAGTTTTTTAGACTGCAGTGTTATCATCTGTCTTGAAAGCATACTTTTGAATTATATAAAACCTATTTATAAGCCACCCTGAGGATCAACCTTGTTAGGAAGACAGGAAAAGAATGTTAAAAAAAACAAGCGAGAAAAGCTTTGAAAGAAAAAAGACTGCTGCTTGCTAGTTCTAACCTCAAATACGAACTCTGGCATGCTGATTCTTGGCTGTCTTTAAACCATTCCTGAGGTGGTGTGAAAGAGACAGGGCCCCATCTACACTGCCATATAATGCAGTGCATTGTATAGTCAGTATAGACTCGTATGCTTTTGATTAGTGTAGTTTCGTCCAACCCACAGCCTGTGGAACACATGTGACCCAGGACAGCTATGAATACTGCAACAAAAAAATGGTAAACTTTCTTATAACATTGTAAGATTTTATTTATTTATCTGCATTTTATTTTGTAACTCGATTGCGCAGTTCTCAAGTGTGAACTTTGTAGATTACCATGGAACAGAATGGCCTAATCAGAGCATTCTAATATCTACAAATATTGGAGTATTATCCACAATTCACATTATATTTGTAAACATTTAGGTTAGAAGAAAAAAACTGTTAACCAATAAAGTAAAGAAGAAGAGATCTCTTGCTATGTCATTCATCAGCTATCTTAATAATAAGAATAGTAATAATTTATTTGTTACCTGCTTCCTGACTGTGAGAGCCGTTCAGCAGTGGAACTCTCTGCCTCGGAGTGTGGTGGAGGCTCCTTCTTTGGAAGCTTTTAAACAGAGGCTGGATGGCCATCTGTCAGGGGTGATTTGAATGCAATATTCCTGCTTCTTGGCAGGGGGTTGGACTGGATGGCCCATGAGGTCTCTTCCAACTCTTTGATTCTATGATTCGATGATTCTATGCTTCTCCTTGTGGCTCGAGATAGGGTTCAACATGTTAAAACAAAACACTATTAAAATGCACATAACAAATATACACAGATAAAATACAAAAATATGGAATGCTTCATGAAGTTTTGGGTGTTTTATGTGCGGCCCAGACAGTTCTTCTTCCAGTATAGCCCAGGAGGACAAAATATTGTTATGGTTTTATTTGGATTTGTATTGTCGAAGGCTTTCATGGCTGGAATCACTAGGTTCTTGTGGGTTTTTTCGGGCTATATGGCCATGTTCTAGAGGCATTCTCTCCTGACGTTTCGCCTGCATCTATGGTAAGCATCCTCAGAGGTGAGGTCTGTTGGAACTGGGAAAAGGGGTTTATATATCTGTGGAATGACAGATATTCCACAGGTCATTCCACAGATATATAAACCCCTTTTCCCAGTTCCAACAGACCTCACCTCTGAGGATGCTTGCCATTTATTTGGATTGTTATATTTTACTTTGCTCTTATTTTAATTGTGTTTTTGCTTTAATGAATTGTTTTGCTTTTATGTCTTGTGGGCATTTTAACCCATATGTAAGCCACCCTAAGTCCCTTCGGGGAGATGGTGGCGGACTATAAGAATAAAGTTGTTGTTGTTGTTAACTCTGGCATTGGAGGAAAATTCGGAGAGTGCCTTGGACCACAAGAAGATCAAATAATAAGATCAAACCAGTCCATCTTCCCAGAAATAAAGCCCGACTGCTCACTGGAGGGAAAGCTATTAGAGGCAAAGATGAAGTACTTTGGGCACATAATGAAAAGACAGGAAAGCTTGCTGAGGAAAATGGAAGGAAAAAGGAAGAGGGGCTGTTCAAGGGCAAGGTGGATGGATGGTATCCTTGAAGGGTCTGGCTTAATCTTGAAGGAGCTAGGTGTGGCTATGGCTGACGGGGAGCTCTGACGTGGACTGGTCCAGGAAGCGACTGAATGAATAAACAACAACAACAACAACAACATTATTATTATTATCATTATTTAATAGTTCACTTCAATAGCACATGACACTATAAAAACACACCTCTAGTCTGGTCTGGATAATTATATCTCACTTTAGTAAATTAAGTGTGCATCTACACTGTAGAATTAATGCAAAATGACACCAATTTAACTGCCATAGCTCAAGGGCTGTATAGACTCATGGGAGATGTAGTTTGACAAGATCTTTAACCATCTCTGCCAAAGAGTGCTGGTGCCTTGCCAAACTATCACTCCTACAATTCCATGAGCCATGATAATCAAAGTGGTCTCAAACTATGTATTGTCGAGAGCTTTCATGGCCAGAATCACTGGGTTGTTGTAAGTTTTTCAGCCTGTATGGCCATGTTCCAGAAGCATTCTCTTCTAGCGTTTCGCCTACATCTATGATAGGCATCCTCAGAGGTTGTGATAACCTCTGAGGATGCCTACCATAGATGCAGGCGAAACGTCAGGAGAGAATACTTCTGAAACATGGCCATACAGCCTGAAAAACTTACAACAACCCTCTGGTCTAATTTTCCAGTGTAGATAACCCTTAGTCATAAATGAGTAATTTGGCCAGACACACAGCCTCTTTGCTCCTCTCTTTGATTGCTCATTGTGTTGATCTTGAAGTCTGTAATTGACTTCCAAACAACCCAGAGGCAGAGATATTTGTCAGAAGCAAGTAATGAACAACTCCTCATAGGAGCAAACAACACACCAAAATAATAGTTGGATCTTATTAGAAATAAGGGGCTGTGCTATTTAGTTTAATCTGCATGAAGATGTAAATGACCAGTTTTACTGAAATAGAGTTAGCCATTCAAATAAATCACATTTTTTAAAATAAGAGGTCTGTAAGAGTGCATGTGTGTGTGAAAGGGAATGTGCAAAAGCCTGATGACTTGTGGAAGAGACTCCTTAGCACAGAAAATAAAGGGAGAGAGGCCTTTTGAGCCTGAATTAAGCCATGAATGTATTGTCGAAGGCTGAATTAAACCATGAATATTGCTTTTTTACAGCTTCAAGCAGTGGAACAAGGCTTCATAGAGGCTACGTTGAAGAAGCCACGCTAGAAGACAAGCCATCGCCAACAACTCACATTGTGTTTGTTGTGCATGGCATCGGACAAAAAATGGACCAAGGAAGGATTATCAAAAACACTGCCATGTAAGTGCTTCATTTCACAAAATACAAACAATGCAGCAGATTCTCCTTGCAAACAGGCAACTCCTAAAGGCCCATTGAAAAAGAAAAGGCTTCACCTAATTATGAGTCACTTTATGATGTAACTTTCTGGTCTTGAGAACCCCATTCATACTCATAGTGCACAAAAATAATTTCGCATTTTTAAAAATGTGTTTTTGATTATGTTGTTCTATCCTAAGGGAGTTTTAAGGAAGTGAAACCTCCTTGGTTTTGAAAATCCAACTTGATTTTACCCAGAAGATCCTGACTCTTTAATTTTTAGCATAGCCATGCCCATATCCTAAATGCGGCCTTTCCGCATGATTGCCACATCATCATCATCACATGACAACCTTCTGTTTCTGACAGGTTTAGGAGTTCTATAGTTCATTGGCTGAAATCTCTCTTGACATTTATTTAAGGACTTGGCAATCTGAAGCAGCTAAACAAGAGACCCACTTCATGACTCCACTCAGTTAAGATCTCTAATTCAAGAGCATGATTGACAAAGACATCTTGTCCTTAACGGTGGAACACTTAAGCCTGCAATTATGCAGTACTCTGTCTAGGCTGAGAATGAAAGCTCTGGTTTTAACTTATCTGTGGGGCTTGAGCAGAAGCTGTGAAATGGGGATAAAATTTAAACCTTTAGCAATGAATGTCTTTAGAATTCCTGACTGGAGGGACCTCCTCTCATTGCAGTCAAAGAATTTCCCCAGAGACATGGTATATAGACACAGTCCACAAAAGAGACTCCTCTAGATGCGGTCTTTTAATCCTGGCAGTCTCACATTTTTGTGCCTTTGGAAATTCTGTTTGGGATTGTTGTTATATGTATTCAAGCTAACTCAAACTATTCATTTATCGTGTCAGGAGCTACCAGACAGTTGTATTACATTTTTAATACAACATAGGGTCTGTAGTTTGCTCTTCTCCACACTCGCATGTCATGGATTCCACTTTGTAGCCCAATTTCTTAAGGTTGGCTCTGCATCTCGTGGTGCCAGAGCGCAGTCTGTTCAGCGCCTTCCAAGTTGCCCAGTTTTCTGTGTGCCCAGGGGGGAGTCTCTCATTTGGTATCAGCCATTGATTGAGGTTCTGGGTTTTGAGCCTGCCACTTTTGGACTCTCGCTTGCTGAGGTGTTCCAGCGAGTGTCTCTGTAGATCTTAGAAAACTATTTCTTGATTTAAGTCGTTGGCGTGCTGGCTGATACCCAAACAAGGGATGAGCTGGAGATGTCACTGCCTTGGTCCTTTCACTATTGGCTGCTACTTCCCGGCGGATGTCAGGTGGTGCAATACCGGCTAGACAGTGTAATTTCTCCAGTGGTGTAGGGCGCAGACACCCCGTAATAATGCAGCATGTCTCATTAAGAGCCACATCCACTGTTTTAGCATGGTGAGATGTGTTCCACACTGGGCATGCGTACTCAGCAGCAGAGTAGCAAGCGCAAGGGCAGATGTCTTCACTGTGTCTGGTTGTGATCCCCAGGTTGTGCCAGTCAGCTTTCACATGATATTGTTTCTAGTGCCCACTTTTTGCTTGATGTTCAGGCAGTGCTTCTTGTAGGTCAGGGCACGGTCCAGAATGACTCCCAGATATTTGGTGTGCTGCAATGCTCCAGTGGGATTCCTTCCCAGGTAATCCTCAGAGCTCGGGATGCTTGTCTGTTCTTAAGGTGGAAAGCACATGTCTGTGTTTTAGATGGATTAGGGATCAGCTGGTTTTCCCTGTAGTAGGCAGTAAGAGCACCTAGAGCTTCGGAGAGCTTCAGTTCAACCATCTCAAAGCTCCCTGCTTGATCAGTAATGGCACGATCATCAGCATAGATGAAGCTCTCTGTCCCTCAAACTTATTGCAACTCTATCCTGTGTTTTCTTTATAAGATTTGTTCCAAGGAAGTTTGCCGTTACCTTCCTCTAATGCTGTGATGGCGCAATACCAATAAACAGTATAATTTCTCTAGTGGTGTGTGCGTAGACATCCTGTGATAATGTGGCATGTCTCATTAAGAGCCACATCCACTGTTTCAATGTGGTGAGATGTCCTCTAATGCTTAAAGGGTATGAATTCCTCAAGTGGGTGACTGTGGCCAAACAGGGATTCAGAATCCTTTCTCCTGAAGTCCAGTCCAACCTTCAAACTGCTATACTGTGCTGGCTCTTAGCCTGGAAAGCAGTGACCTAAATAAAATTCCTTGCAGACATTGTGCCCTCTACCCTGTGTCCTGCCTGATTAGAAAGAGTTGCAGAATCTACGTATCTTCAGCGGCCTTGTGTGCGATGCATATTGGCTTTCCTCATGACTGTGTCATAGGCCACACCTGCTTGTAACAAACTAGTCATGGAAAGAATGGTCACTGGCACCAAAGAAGCATGATGCAACAAAGAAGGAAGAATGTGGAAGACCCAAGAGTGCTAGCATAGTTAGACGTTTGAGTGTAGGACTACAGTTCTGGAAATCAGGATTCAAATTTCCACTTGGTCATGAAACTTACTAGGTGACCGTGACCAAGCCATACATACCCAGCCTCAGAGGAAGGCAATAGTAAACCTCTTCTGAGCAAATCATGCAAAGAAAAAAGTTTTATAAGATCACCTTCTAGTTGCCATAGATCAGAAAGCACTTGAAAGCACAGAACAACAAGCTTGGGGGGAAAAAACTGCTCAACCATGGAGCTTTATTTGTAGTATCTTTACTTCTAAAATGGTCTCAATAATCAGAAATCACTCTTAAATCTGTTGTGGAAGGCTTTCATGGTCGAAATCACTGGGTTGCTGTGCATTTTCTGGGTTGTATGACCATGTTCCAGAAGCATTCTCTCCTGACATAGTCCATGCATCTACATAGGGACCACCAAATGCAGCACCCAAACATGGATCAAGGAACATGAAAGGCACTGCAGACTAATTCAGCCGGAGAAGTCAGCCATAGAAGAGTACCCCACCAAACGCAGCAGCATTGCCCAAACACGGATCAAGGAACATAAAAGGCATTGCAGACTAATTCAGCTGAAGAAGTCAGCCATAGCAGAGCACCTGAGGAACCAACCTGGACACAGCAACTTTAAGAACACAGCAACTAACTGGATTTTGAAGCTGCAAGGCCATTTAAGGCTAATTAAGGTGGCCATTTGCAACATTCACACCTGCCTCAAGTAGACAAGGGTTCATTCTTACACCTTGAACATTCCACAGATATATAAGCCTCACTTGCATAGTTTCCAACAGACCCCTCAACCTCTGAGGATGCCTGCCATAGATGTGGGCAAAACGTCAGGAGAGAATGCTTTTGGAACATGGCCATACAACCCAGAAAACTCACAGCAACCTACTCTTAATCTACTGAGCATGATTGAACAATTCAGCACAGAGATAATTTATTCAAATGTATGCTGTTATCCCCAATTTTCTAGGATGCGAGATACTGCAAGGAAAATAGAAGACAAATATTTTTCCAACCATGCAACGCACGTTGAGTTCCTTCCAGTTGAATGGAGATCCAAACTTGCACTTGATGGAGGTACTTTTTTGGTTGAAGACATTTATTTGAGCTACCAGATCAACGATGCTTCTATTTGGAAAATAGTGATCTTCATCATATATCTGACGGTAGCTTTTAGACTTCCTTCTTTCAAGTTGACTTTTCCATCTCACCTGCCAGGGGGGCTCTGTGTATTGCTAAGGTTCCCTGGTCATTTTCTGGGTTCTTCTCTCAGTTAGCATGAGGTCTTTTAGTGCTATCCATTGCGCTAAACTTAGGAGACTGCTTCTCCTCCTATCAGCTCGCACAAGCCCTGAGATCATCAGAAGAGGCCCTTCGCTCAGTCCCACCACCATCACAAGTAAGGTGGGTGGGAACGAGAGATGGAGGGGACTTCTCAGTGGTGGCCCCACGGCTCTGGAACTCCCTCCCCAAAGAGGTGTGTTCGGCCCCGTCTTTATTGGCCTGTCACTCCCAGGTTGCAACCTTTTTATGGAAGCAGGCTGTGATGAATCCCTTACCTTAGCAGGCTAGCTTAGGCCTAAGAGAGTGGGCCTGGCAAAGCCACAACATCCTTAAGGAAGGCTAGTTCCGGTTTTGGCTAGATTCCTAAGGAAGATTTTTGTCGGAGTTACTTTCAGAGATTCATTTCCTGAAGTAATTTTCTGTGTGGAAACTTTAAGACTTGTAACCCAGAAGTTTTTAAGATCTCAAACATAACCACAAGCTTTGTATGTCAGATTTTTACTGAAACCATCAAGCATTTGTACCTGAAATATCCAAATCTGTTCAAATAAAGTTCTTGTTATTTTTATCAACTTACATTAGCCTCAGTGTGAGTGGTAAAAGTGTTATTCAAGTCAGCTTTTTACCAGCCTCTAAGGAAACTGGAGTAACACAGAGCGTTACTGAACAACCTCTCAATAGTACCTCAGCCTGTTCTTTAGTAATATGGTGGCAGCGGAAACCTTTTAAAGAATCATTTTTAAAGTCTCAGTTCCAGTGGTTCCCAATTCCTAACTGTTAAATATAGACATTTGGTCCAGCAACTATTCTCCCTCTATAATTTTGATGAGCTAATCTGGAGTGTTGTCATCGTTACAATTTGGTAGGCTGCTGTGTGGTCATTATAATTTTAGTGAAGCAGCAGTGGGACTTTTATTATCGAATAGAGTTCCCTACTTTTCCCCACGGATCGTTATAATTTGAAGGAGCAGCGGTGCGATTCGTTATAATTTGGTAATACAGCGGGTTGGATCGTTATACAGGCCTTCAACAACAACCCACAATAATCAGGCTATTTCGGTCAGGCAAGGCTCACACGGCTAAAAATTTGGAGTTTCAAGACTTTCTAGTACAATGTTTTTAGGACAACCTCAGTAGCCTGTGGCCCTGGGATTTTCAATGATAATGATAATTGTTGTTATTTTAATGCTTATTTTATATGGTTTTGGTAATGTGTTTATGCAGTGTGTTGGTTTATTGTTTATATGTTTGGGTTGCGGGATGATGTTGTGTTCTTGTATCATGTATTTTTTGTTTTTTACAATTTGCTTTGAGTCCTACCTGTGGGAGAAAAACAGGATATAAATAACTAAATAACTAATAAGCACACAACACCTAACTGAGATTAAAAATAGGAGGGAAAGATTGGGAATAGTGGGCAGGTTCAGTGTATTGTCGAATGCTTTCATGGCCAGAATCACTGGGTAGTTGTAGGATGCTTGCCATAGATGCAGGTGAAACATCAGGAGAGAATGCCTCTAGTCCATGGCCATATAACCCGAAAAAACCTACAACAACCCAGTGGTCAGGTTGTCTGCCTGCCTTCTAGAATAGATGGTCTTTTGTTGCTGACCTTCTTCCTGAGCAAATAACTGGAGTTTTCCTGGATGGTAATTTAAAAACCACTTGGGGAGGTGGCAGTAAATAACTTGCTTGACTTTTTATCTCAGCACTTGTGAGATTTCTTTGGTCCCAGAGTGGTTAGTTCCTAAGAATGTGTACTCATGCTATCTTGAACTGTTGATTTTAAGCACGTTCTAAAGTTTTATCACACCTCAGTCAAACACTTGTGTCTCCTGTCTTTACCTTAGATACTGTTGACTCTATTACTCCAGATAAAGTCCGTGGCTTAAGAGATATGCTTAACAGCAGCGCAATGGACATAATGTATTACACAAGCCCCCTCTACAGAGACGAGGTATGTATGAGTCTTTACGGGTGTGATTTCAAGTATGGCCAGGCTGGGTGTCCTTATTTAAACATAGTGATGTTTCTAAATCTCAAAGCAGGGATTGGTCTTCAGTTCTCTTACGTAGGAAAAAAGCAAAACCTAGTTGGTCCTGTATACACTTTCGATTGCGAGGTTTTATTTTTTTTTATTTATAAAATAAAAATAAATAATATATAAATAATAAAATAAATATAAATAATATATAAAATAAAAATAATAAAAAATAAAATAAAATATAGATAGACCCTGGGATTCAGAACCACAAGAGGCAGTTTCAAGAAGTAATTAGAGTAAAGCATATCTAGCTTTCACAATCCAACAGCCTCACGTGACTTGAGGCATCCTAAGAAACCCCATTTACATTATGCAACATTCCCAGAGGTTTCAGGACAGCAGTCACAACTGCTATTCTGCTGACGCAGGAGTATTTTAAAACGTTGCTTAATGGAGCCAACGCAGGGGTCAAGAAAGTGGGCCAAGGAGCACTTTGTAGATCATGAGATCGCAGTGTTTTATTTTCCCCCAACTGAGAAGCAATTGTTGGTTGCAGCAAAGAAATGCACAGCGGACAATGAGTCTGCGGCTCTGAGCTACTCCTGCTGCCACCCGCTGGGCGATACAGTATGCTGCCTCTTTTATTTCTGTGCCAGATTATTATTATCAACATCATTATTTATGTATAAAGCATCACCAGAGTACATGGCATGGTACAAGTAAAACAAATGCAAGATCCTCCACTTAGGCAGAAAAAATGAAATGCAAAGCTTCAAAATGGGAGATGCCTGGTTCAATAGCAGTACATGTGAAAACGATCTTGGAGTCCTCGTGGACAACAAGTTAAACATGAGCCAACAGTGTCATGCAGCAGCTAAAAAGGTCATTGGGATTTTGGCCTGCATAAATAGGAGTCTAGATCCCGGAAAGTCATCCTACCTATGCTCTATACCAGGGGTCCTCAAACTTTTTGAACAGAGGACCAGGTCACAGTCTCTCAGACTGTTGCAGGGCCGGATTATAATTCTATGCACACTGCACATATCTTATTTGTAGTGCAAAAGACACTTAAAAACAATACAATATTTAAAATGATGAACAATTTTAACAAATATAAACTTATCAGTATTTCAATGAGAAGTGTGGGCCTGCTTTTGTGAGAGGATTGTTGTTGTTGTTATGTGCTTTCAAGTCGTTTCAGACTTAGGTTGACCCTGAGCGACGGCAGAGTAAATTTATTTATTTATTTCAGTTACTTTTACCCCGCCCTTCTCACCCCCGAGGGGGGACTCAGGGCGGCTTACAAAGAAGTAAATGACCTTGGAGGGTTGCATCCAGCCCCCGGGCCTTAGTTTGAGGACCCCTGCTCTATACCCATGTTACGTCAGCTCCGCTGGCTACCAGTTCGCTACCGAGCACATTTCAAAGCATCCTCAAGCTCCTCAACAATATGCAAAATATCAGAAATGTGTTCCACGACATGTGAGTGTGGAGAACAGCAAACCACAGACCACCTACTACAATGTAACCTGAGCCCTGCCACATGCACAATGGAGGACCTTCTTAAAGCAACAACAGAGGCACTCCCAAGTGGCCAGCTTCTGGTCAAAGGCTGCCGATTCAGTTCCGAGCACAATTCAAAATGCTGGTTTTGACCTATAAAACCCTATACAGCTCCGGCCCAGCGTACCTGTCCGAACGTATCTCCTTCTATGTCCCACCTCGGAGTCTAAGATCTTCTGGGATGGCCCTGCTCTCGGCCCCGCCTCTATCACATGCGAGGCTGGTAGGGACGAGGGACGGCCTTCTCAGTGGTGGCCCCTCGCCTGTGGAATTCACTCCCCGGGGAAATTAGGTCATCAACATTCCTCCTCTCCTTCAGAAGGAAGCTGAAAACATGGATATGGGACCAGGCCTTTGGGTAATCGGGCAGACTGACAAGGTAATGACGACCAGAATCTGGAAAGGACTATGGTAATGCTGAATGGACTTACGGATTTTAGAACTCGGTGAACGTTGCCCACTAGATTGGCTTTTAGTTATTATTGTATTAATTGAATGTTTTAACTATTGTTGTTATTGCTGTTATGTATTTTATCTGTTGAATTGTTGGCATCGAATTGTGCCGGTTGTAAGCCACCCTGAGTCCCCACCTTGGGGGTTGAGAAGGGCGGGGTAGAAGCGCCCGAAATAAATAAATAAATAAATAAATAAATAAATAGAATGCCAAGTTTGCAAACTTTGTGGGGGTGTTTTTGTTTTTGTTAGTTTGTTTGTTTTTTGTTTTAAATACAATGCAACTGTTTGGTTCGCTCCTGACATGATAAATAAATCAGAAATGTGCTTTCTCTCAACCCTCCCTCAAATTCCCTCCTTTTTTTTTAAACAGCTAGTAAAAGGGCTTCAACAGGAGCTGAACCGTTTGTATAGCCTTTTCTGTTCTCGGAATCCAGAGTTCACGGAAAAGGGAGGAAAAGTGTCCATCGTGTCACATTCCTTGGGGTGTGTCATCACCTACGACATCATGACAGGGTGGAATCCGGTCAGACTCTATGAACAGTTGCTTGAGAAGGAATATGATGACCTTGAGGATACGTGGATGAGCTACGAGGAGCAGCATTTGCTGGAAGAGTTCTACTTAACCAAACAACGGTAAAAGGGTTGTTTTTTTAATATAGTGTGTGTAAACATATATATGAAATCAGAACTTTCTGGAGCATTTTTTCTGAAGTTCAAGCTTGAGCTTATGTACCTGTGTTGTCCTTTACAATTTCAGGGGATGGGCTGGGGATTTGCTTTGAGAGCAGATTAACTCCTGCAGCAGTTCATCTTTCCCAGTTTTCTGCATACACCAGGCATGGGCAACCTTCAGCTCTCCAGGTGTATTGGATTTCAACTCCTACCAGCCATAGGCTGTCAGAAATTGTAGAAGCTGAAGTCCAAAACACCTGAAGGGCCAAAGTTTGCCCATGCCTGCCCTGAGCTATGAAACCTAGAATGGCCTCCTCATTGCTTCTGTCAGCAAGCAGATACTTTATTCTTTTTGTAATGACTTTCAAGAACTGTGTTGTTTTAATTGTATTGAGTTTTTTTCAAGACTTCCTCTCATTAGAATAGAATAACTTCATTGTCATTGTGCATTGTACAACGAAATTAAATGCTTTCCCTAGCACACATCACAAAACAACATACCTGTCGTACCCCAGAATAGGTTCGCCTTGCTGAAAACAGCAAACTGCACACAGCCAGAAGTCTTTATAGTTTATTAAAAAGTAAAAGGTAAAAAGTTCTTAAAAGCAGAAGTAATGTTCTAAAAGATCAATACAAAATAACACTTTGAAGCATGATCCAAAAAGGCATCAGCAAAGTAAAATCCCATGAGAACATGACTGAGTCCTGAGACCATGAACACAAGAACTGCAGGATAATCCAGACAAGCAAAATGCAAGCTTTTTGGTTAAAGTTGTTCTGACAAAGATTTGGTCCCAAACGCCCTGCTTAATACCCTTTGCAAAACATGAAGGCGTTTCTTTGGCCTCTGACCTCCTTCTTGTTAGCTATTCTTACACTCCTTCGAACTCTGAATTCCAAGCGGTCAGCACGATCTAAGGTTCCCGTTTTGTCAAGGCCAGTCTGTTCGTTAGTGTTATCCAGTTTGCCTTCCTGCTCATTATCAGGCTGAGAACTGTCCTCCTTTTCTGAGTCTATTTGCACTTGCACCTGGCTAGTTTCAGTATCAACAAACTCATTCCTTGCTGTGGGAAACTGAACTTCCACACCCTGTTCCTCATTGACTATAACAGGGACATTTTGAATCAGATTGTGAACCTGAGTCCCATCATCCTCATCAGAGGCACTCTGTGGTTCCAGCTGAGTCACAAGAATACCCATCCCTTCACATTCTCACCCCACCACATCGCCTCCCAGTGCCACATCAATGCAAAGCCATGGAGTTCAATATAGTTACAGCTCTGGGATAGAAGCTGTCTCTTAGTCTGTGTGTTCTTGCCTTTGTCACCCTGTACCATCTACCAGATGGTAATAATTCAAAATAAGAGAAAATGCCGAGTGAGATGAATCCTTAAAAATGCTCTGAGTTTTCTTATGGCTACGGGACCTATAAAGTTCTTCTGAGGAGGGGGGAGGACAACCCATTATTCTCTGTACAGAAGTGGTGACCCCTTGGAGCACCTTCCTATCCATAGCCATTGTGCAGTTACTTACCAAACCATGCACAGATTCAGTTAGTTAGGACACTCTCCCTGTAGCACAGCGGTAGAAAGTCACCAGCAGTTTTTCATTCAGTTGTTGGTTCCTTAGCAGTTTCAGGTAGTACAGTCTCTGCTGGGCTCTCTTAAACAACACTGCCCTATGAACGCTATTCCAGGTCAGATCCTCCTTTACGGTGACACCCAGGAACTTGAAACTGGCCACCCGCTCCACTTGGTCCTAATTTATGACCAAGGGCAGGATTTCTAGTCTGTTATTTCTATAGTCTACTATGAGCTCCTTGTTTTGTTTTGTTTTGTTTTTTTCCTGTATCAGGAGCAACTTGAGAGAATTCAAGTTGCTTCTAGTGTGAGAGAATTGTCTGTCTGCAAGGACGTTGCCCAGGGGATGCCCGGATGTTTTACCATCCTTGTGGGAGGCTTCTCTCATGTCCCTGCATGGGAGATGGAGCTGACAGAGGGAGCTCAACCCTCTCTCCCCTGATTTGAAGAAGCAATCTTGCCAGCACACTTGTTTTAATGTGATGGATGATATAATCCCATCTTAAATGTTGATTTTTGGGGTCTTAATTTGTCAGTTGCCTTGAATTCTCATTTTGGAAAAAGGCAGGGTATAAAAAATAATGGTGGTGATGATGCTGATGGTAATGTCATTCTCCATATTTGCAGGTCAAGCATTCTGAGATTTCATTATTTGCAGTTTACTATATTTTCCCCACCTCTATAACTTAAAAAATGTTATCTTTAGGCACTTCAAGGTCCTGTAGCTTGATTCCACTGGAAAGTGGCCATAGAATCAAAGTGGAGGACCAGGTCCGTAGCCAGGATTTTGATTGGGGGGGGGGGGGCTGAGTCTGAGTGAAAGAGGGTCTACCCTAGCAAACCTTTTGTATCGTTACCCCAATACCCCCATGCATATGGGATATATTGAGCATGGTGATCAGATCATGATATGAATAAACATAACAGTTTAAATAATGTACCAGTAAGGCCTTTTCGCGGACCACCATGAGAATTTGGGGGGGGGGGGCTGAAGCCCCCCCCCCCCCCCCCCCGGCTACATGCCTGTGGAGGACCTAGAAATGCCTCAGATTAGAAAACCAGCTATTTGTATTCATATTCACAATTTCACCACTTTTACTAGGATCCTGTGCACCTAACACTTCAAATGTGGTGGTATTGCTGTAATAATAATAATACGAGGGGTATTTTTAAGTAAGGTCCGTTGGAACATAAGTACACAACGAAAGTTTATTTCAAAAAAGTAAATTTATTTTCAGAAAGTACATACTTCACTCTATTTTTCAACATAGTTGCCAAGTTTGTTCAAACACTTATCATACCTCTGAACCAATTTTAAAATACCCTCTTCATAAAAACTTGCCGCCTGCTCCGATAACCAAGAGTTCACTGTAATCAAAGAAGGGCGACCGGAGCGGTCCTCATCATGGACGTTGTCACGGCCATCTTTGAATTGTCGTACCCACTTACGCACTTTGCTTTCACTCATAACAGTATCACCGTACACTTCACAAATCTGTCGATGAATTTCTTCAGCAGGCAGGTTCCTTGCTGACAAAAACTGTCTCACTGAGCGAACCTCACATGCGGAGGGTGAGTTGATAGTCTTAAACATTTTTAAAGCACAGAACAGAACCGAACAGGTGAGCTACAGAGCGGAAACTGAGCACAGTTGTTCCCGAGCCATGCTGGTACATGACGCACACGCTCGTTGCGGTATGCGCGGGAACTACTAGTGTCTACAACAAAACAGACCTTACTTAAAAAATACCCCTCGTAGTTGTTTTTGAATATTACACTAACGTACATAAAGAGCTCTTAAACAACCAATGGGATATTTGTCATGCATGTGTACTTTGTAATTTTATTTTTTTAGATTGAAGGAAATAGAAGAGAGATTGCATGGACTGAAGACCTCCACCATAGCTAAGACGCCTGCCTTAAAATTTAAGGTATGATAGAAATGCCCTTTCTGGTTCATGGCTGAGTTTAGGAGCGAATGAGATTTCAGTTCTTTTCCGAGCTCTACCTTCACCTCAGTTACACAAATCTCATCCAGTTTAGGCCTTCTCAGGGTTGGTCTTCCTCCTTTTCCTACTGCTTCTACCATACCATGCATTATTTTTTCTAGTGAGTGCCATCTTCTTATAGCCAATGTATGCAGCTGTAGTGGTTCAGCCTGCACATGTTCCATTGCCTGAGGTTTCAGTGCCTAATGCCCAAGATCCTGGGGGCCCACAGGGGTCTGGAAATGGGGATTTTGGGCAAGAGAGTGTTGTTAGTCATGATGATGCTGAGGATTCTGAGATGGTCAGGCCTGCAATAGATGTGCCAGTACAGACAGAGAAAGAGGCTGACAGTCTTGTGTTAGGTTTCCCAAGGGAGTCAAGGTCAGAATGTGAAAAGAATGTTTTGTCGAAGGCTTTCATGGCCGGGATCACTGGGTTGTTGTAGGGTTTTTTGGGCTGTATGGCCATTTTCTAGAGGCATTCTTTCCTGACGTTTCGCCTGCATCTATGGCAAGCATCCTCAGAGGTAGTGAGGTCTGTTGGAACTAGGACAAAGGGTTTATATATCTGTGGAATGACCAGGGTGGGACAAAGAACTCTTGTCTGCTGGAGCTAGGTGTGAATGTTTCAACTGACCACCTTGATTAGCATATAATGGCTTGACAGTGCCTAGAGCAAACTTTTGTTAAGAGGTGATTAGATGCCCTTGTTAGTTTCCTCTCTGTTGTTGTGCTGTTGTAATTTTAGAGTTTTTTAATACTGGTAGCCAGATAAGGTTCATTTTCATGGTTTCCTCCTTTCTGTTGAAATTGTCCACATGCTTGTGGATTTCAATGGCTTCTCTGTGTAGTCTGACATAGTGGTTGTGAGAGTGGTCCAGCATTTCTGTGTTCTCAAATAAAATGCTGGAGGAAACCATGAAAAGTTTGCTCTAGGCACTGTCAAGCCATTATATGCTAATCAAGGTGGTCAGTTGAAACATTCACACCTAGCTCCAGCAGACAAGAGTCCTTTGTCTCACCCTGGTCATTCCACATATATAAACCCATTTTCCTAGTTCCAACAGACCTAATTACCTCTGAGGATGCTTGCCATAGATGCAGGCGAAATGTCAGGAGAGAATGCCTCTAGACCATGGCCATACAGCTCGAAAAAACCTACAACAACCCAAAGAATATTTTAACTGGGGATGCCTCTTTCAATAGAAGGAGTGAGATTTGACAACAAAGACATCTGGCTGGGGAGAGGCGCCGCTCTCATAGATTAATTGACAAGAAGGTTCCTCCTGAGTCTTCTCAAGGGAAAAGGCATGAGTTTTTGACTATATATGAGGGTAACTGAGATTGTGTCTTCAGAGGAACCAATGTTTGGTTTAAACCTGCCTTGTGTTCAGGTTTCTTATGCCTTGGATTTGCATTCATGTTGATATTCCTGTATTTTCACTGTGTATTAATATCAAACAAAATGTCTCCTTAGGTTGAAAACTTTTTCTGCATGGGATCTCCCTTAGCAGTGTTTTTGGCCTTGCGCGGCATCCGCCCGGGGAACAGCGGAAGTCAAGATCACATTCTTCCTAGAACTATTTGTAATCGGTTGCTAAATATTTTTCATCCAACGGACCCAGTGGTAAGTGCTAGTGAAGTAACCAACTTTCCCCTGATAGTACTGGCCTTATCTTGGTGCAAAATCGGCAGCAGTGGAGTTGAAGGCCATCCATCCAGGTGTTCTTCTCTCTGTGCAAGCTGCAGGGAGCAAAGGGATTGCTTTGACTGCTGTAGCACAGTGGGTTAAACTGCTATCTGCAGGAAATCTGCTGATGGAAGGTTGGCAGTTTGAAGCCACGAGTGGGAGTAAGCTCCCAACTGTCAGCCCTGGCTTCTGCCAACCTCATAGTTCAAAAGCATGCAATTCAAGTAGATCAATTCAAGTAGATCAGCTGGGTCAAATTCACGCCTCCAGCTTCGTCCAGCCAGGTCTCCGTGATGCACGCCAGATCTGCCCGCTCATCCAGGATTAAATCCTGGATAAAAGTTGTTTTTCCGTTGACAGATCTGGCGTTCAACAGCACCACCTTCAATCCAGAGGGGCCACCAACCTGGTTACACCAATTTACCATATTAGGAGACTGGTCTGGAATTACTAATGTAGTTATACGATCCGAATTAGGCTGAATTAATGGTCTCCTTTTCCCGCATCTCCCCTTCCCCACCACGACCTCTATTGTAATCCACTCCGAGTCCCTCCGGGAAGATAAAGCAGAATATAAATAAAGTGTATTATTATTTATTATTAAAAACTATTTCCCTTCATAAAAAATTGCTGGAAGAAACATTAACAACCTTTGATATGCAGATGATACCACTTTGATGGCCAAAAGCGAGGAGGAGCTGAGGAGCCTTCTAATCAAGGTGAAAGAAGAAAGTGCAAAAGCCGGGTTGCAGCTAAACATAAAAAAACAAGATTACGGCAACAAGAATGATTGATAACTGGGAAATAGAGGGAGAAAACGTGACAGCAGTGACAGACTTTGTATTTCTAGGTGCAAAGATTACTGCAGATGCAGACTGTGGCCAGGAAATCAGAAGACGCTTCCTTCTTTGGAGGACAGTAATGACTAACCTTGATAAAATAGTAAAGAGTAGAGACATCACACTGGCAACCAAGATCCGCATAGTTAAAGCCATGGTATTCCCTGTAGTAACCTACGGATGTGAGAGCTGGACCTTAGGGAAGGCTGAGCGAAGGAAGAGAGATGCTTTTGAGCTGTGGTGTTGGAGGAAAGTTCTGAGAGTGCCTTGGACTGCGAGAAGATCCAACCAGTCCATCCTCCAGGAAATAAAGCCCGACTGCTCACTGGAGGGAAGGAGATTAGAGACAAAGCTGAACTACTTTGGCCACATCATGAGACGAAAGGAAAGCTTAGAGAAGACAATGATGCTGGGTGAAAAGGAAGGAAAAAGGAAGAGGGGCCAAACAAGGGCAAGATGGATGGATGGGATCCTTGAAGGGACTGGGTTGACCTTGAAGGAGCTGGGGGTGGTGACGGTTGACAGGGAGCTCTGGCGTGAGCTGGTCCATGAGGTCATGAAGAGTTGGAAACGACTGAACGAATGAACAACAACATCTCCCTTCATAGAGAAACAAAGGGATTGCTTGGGCATGGGCAAACTTTGGCCCTCGAGGTGTTTTGGACTTCAGCTCCCACAATTCCTAACAACCAGCAGGGAGTTGAAGTCCATGCTTGGGATCACTGCAGAACCACCTCCTTTCATTTTGGCCAGGATTCCAAGAGGGAATGTCACAGTGGATTGTGCCATTGCTTGTATTAGCACTCAGATCTGGCCCTGCTTGGGATTATTGCTAGATAACAGATTGTGGAATATGGTCCATGATCTCATGCCAGAATGTCGTAGTGGCTTGAGCCCCTTCTTGCAGGTGGGGCACCTTGTGTTTGGATTTTCCACCTCATGTGCACTCAGATCTGAAGTCCTGGCCTTGCTTGAGAGTTTTGCTAAATAACAGATTACGGAAGATGGTTAATGACCATATGCCTGAGGAGGTCACCCAGACCGCCTGTGTGGACACAGAGGTGTGTGAGCATGTCACCTCGTGTGGCAGAGCTGCCTCCTGTTGGGAGGAAGAGAGACCTATATGTAGGAGAGTTCACAGCCCATTCCTTCCTGTGATTGGGAGTGAGTGGGATGTGAGGTTCAACATTTGGCCTTCCCATCCTGTTCCAGGTGGGAGGCTGCCTTTGGGATTTCAAAATTGTGGCAGGAGTGCTGTGCATTTCTATTTTTGTTTGTATGCTTGTCCATGATCTTTGTGAATGTGTGCATTTTTGGTTCTATTGCATGGTACCACCCAGTTAACACAGCCAGCTGCAAAGTGACAAAATTATGTGTCTCCTTGGCTCAGGAACAGCAAGAGTGAAAGTAGTCTGCTCTAGAAATGGCGGTGTGTTTCTTCACGCCTTAGTTTTTCTTCCAAGACCTTCTTCTGATTCCTTGCCCTACCCTTTTCCAGCTGTGTGGAAATTGGTTGCAGAATGTGGCAAATACTGAATAGTCCTGGTGTTTTCCAAAGGCTGTTAAATGGTGGAAAATTATGTTTCAAGAACTTCAAAGATAATAAATGCAGTGTCATTAGCTCTTATGATTAGGAAAATTCTGTAGCAAAGTTTCTTTGGATTTTTCCGAATATTAGGTAGTGATTTTTAAAATGCCAAATATAGGTCTGTCTAGAAACATTTCCTTGGTCCATCATCATTTTTAGTACACCAGTGACTTCAACAAGAATTTGGGAAGCAAGGATCATACGACCACTACGATTCCTTGTCTCTGTTGAATATGTCACCCGTACCTCGTGAAGGTGGATCTGGCCAGGGTAGTCCATGCCTTAGTCACCTCTAGACTGGATTACTGTAATGCACTCTATGTGGGGCTGCCCTTGAAAACGGCTCGGAAATTCCAGATGATCCAACGGGCAGCAGCCAGGTTGTTAACCGGGGCTCCTTACAGGGAGCGGTCAACCCTCCTGTTTAAGGAGCTCCACTGGCTGCCATTCATTTTCCAATTCAAGGTGCAGGTTCTCACCTACAAAGCCCTGAACGGTTTGGGACCCGCCTACCTTCATGACTGCATCTCTGTATATGAACCCACATGATCTCTGATCATCTGGAGAGGCACTGCTCTCGCTCCTACCTGCATCGCAAGCGCGATTGGTGGGGTCGAGAGAGAGGGCCTTTTCGGTGGTGGCCCCTCGACTCTGGAACTCACTTCCTAAGGACATCAGGCGTGCCCCAACTCTGGCAGTCTTTAGGAGGAGCTTGAAGATGTGGTTGTTCCAGTGTGCCTTCCCACAATAATGATCCCATAGTACGTTGTCCTCCAAAGCACTTTATATTGTTTTAGGTGATGGGGCGGTATGTTTCCACCAACCGCCCCATCACTTTTTCGTCCATGTCCAGCATTATTTTTAATTTGAACTACATTTGGCCTACCCATAGATTTTAAAGTGTGTTGTCCTATTGATAATGCTTATGTTATTGTTTTATTTTTTGTTGTTTTTAATTGCTTGTATTGTTGTTGTTATTGCTTGTATTGTTGTTTTGGGCTCGGCCTCATGTAAGCCGCACCGAGTCCCTTGGGGAGATGGTAGCAGGGTATAAATAAAGTGTTGTTGTTATTGTTATTATTATTATTATTATTATTATTATTATTATTATTATTATTTTATGTCATGCTGAAAACCTGAACTATTAGTATAGGAAATAAGTTGTGAGTTTTCTGGGCTGTATGTCCATGCTACAGAAGCATTCTCTCCTGACGTTTCGCCTGCATCTATGGCAGGCATCCTCAGAGGTTGTGAGGTCTGTTGGAAACTAGGAAAATGGGGTTTATATAATAATAATAATAATAGTAATAATAATAATAATAATAATAATATCTTTATTTCTACCCCGCCACCATCTCCCCGATGGGGACTCGGAGCGGCTTACATGGGGCCAAGCCCGTACAACATAATACAGCAATAAAATCAAAGCATATACAACAGACAACAACAACATTATCAAGATGACATTTTAAAAAAGTAAAATAAAATAAACATTCCAATAAATAAACCCAATCACAGTGGAATGTCCAGGGTGGGAGAAAGAGACCTTGTCAGTTTGAGGTAGGTGTGAATGTTACAATTGGCCAGCTTGATTAGCATTTAATAGCCTAGCAGTTTCAAGGTTTGGCTGGGGGAATCCTTTGTTGGGAGGTGATTAGCTGTTTCCTAACTTCAAAAGGAGAGTGTAAGTATCTGTCTAGCGAGAAAGAATGGGGTAACATGAAATAAATTATTTTTTGCCTTATCACCTAAGACATCTTTCTGGTTTTTTTACTTGCAGGCCTATAGACTAGAACCTTTAATTCTGAAGCATTATAGCAACATTTCTCCTGTCCAGATCCACTGGTACAACACCACGAACCCTCTACCTTACGAACACATGAAGCCAAGTCTCCTCAACCCGGCAAAAGATTCTACCTCAGCCCCGGAGAGTGAAGCTCTCCCGACGTTACCCAGCCCCACGACGTCCCCTGTCATGGCACGGCGGCACTATGGGGAGTCCATTACAAACATAGGCAAAGCAAGTATAATGGGTAACTATATTTGAAACCTTGACAGCTTGTGTTTATCTGTAGCTATCTTATCTCTCTTACTAGTTGAGCTCTCCAGTTATGTATGCATGTCCTCATGCTCTGAAAATATATGTACTGTATTTACTAGAATCTAACGCTCACCTTTTTTGGCTAAATTACCTTGCAGAAAGTAGGGTGAGCATTAGGTTTGGTTAATGTGGACATCTTAGTGCTGAGCCAAAGCAATAGGGAAAGCTGCTCCAGGAGCAGCTGGAACTTCTGTTTGAGGAATGTCATCTCTAATTTAATGGTCTGGGCCTAACGCTGTGTAATCCTAGGATTGTAGTTTAATGAAGCATCCACACTATGGTGGGAAAGGCTGAAGGCCTTGCAGAACTACAGCATTCATTTTTAATTTATTTTCATTTTTTTGTCATGTCAGGAGCGACTTGAGAAACTGCAAGTCGCTTCTGGTGTGAGAGAATTGGCTGTCTGCAAGGATGTTGCACAGGGGACACCCGGATGTTTTTGATGTGTTACCATCCTTGTGGGAGGCTTCTCTCATGTTCCCGCATGAGGAGCTGGAGCTGATAGAGGGAGCTCATCCGCCTCTCCTCGGGTTTGAACCTGCAACCTGTCGGTCTTCAGTCCTGCCCTCATGTTTCCATTGCCTTGAACCAAGGCAATTAAAGTGCATTCATTCTACAGCATAGATGCACCCCAAGGTTTCTTTTCCATTGCTGAAAGCTTTGGTGTTCCAACATAATTGTTTTTAAAGAAGGAATTCTAAGCAGGCAGCAACTACAATGACCAAATTACAAAGAGTGCACCTTTTGCACGTGACATTCATTAGCAAATACTGTTTTGGTTTTAGGTTTTGGAAAATTGAGGTGTGCATTAGATTCAATGGCACATTAGACTCGAGTAAATACTTCTAGTTTTTGCAGCATACCACATCTGGTGCCTACATCTGTCAGGAGTGTTTTCATTGTACATTCCTGCATAGCAGAGGGTTTGATTGGATGGTCCTTATGGTTTCTTCCAACTCTATAATTCTATCTAGGCAGATTAAACACAATGGGGTCCTTATATCCCCTCTCTGCCACCTCTTCTCCAGGCTAAATGTCTCCAACTTCCTAAGCCACATCGCAGAGGTCATTGCTACCATCTTTGCTCCCTCTGCTTCAGTCTGGTTCAGATTATGGAAACCATGAATCCTTATCCTCATTGTCCTCTTCTATCCTACATTTTTCCATCTTTACCCAGACCCTTTCCTTGGCAATCATAGTCCTCTATAGTAATCCTATATCCAGAATATGTTCATTTTTATTCTGAATAGTTGCTACATTTGGCCACTGCTCTAGAAGGACCTCGTTACCTCTGTCCTCAATACAGTAAAAACAGTACAGATTAGGTCTGTGCCACCTCTAACAATCCCTCTTTACTTGCCATCTTTACTTGATATGGCCAAACTGTCCTAGAACAACCCTTCCCCAAATCCCACCAACTTCCTAGAAAGTTGAGAAACTTCACAAGACATGGTAGGAAGTCCATGGAAGTCCATCATGATCAACTATTGTGATTTTATTTTGTATTGTGTGCTTACCTTTTATAGCTTTTTAATTTTTAATTTTAATTATATTTTATTGATGTATTATTTTATGTTGTATATTTGCTTTGATGCAATTGTTGGGCTTGGCCTCATGTAAGCTTAGGGAGATGGTGGCAGGGTATAAATTAAGTTGTTATTATTATTATTATTATTATTATTATTATTATTATTATGGAAAATAATCAACTTAATTTATACCCCACCCTATCTCCTGTAGGGACTCAGGGTGGTTGTTTTTCCTTCAGACATTTTCTGTCTGACTCCATAGGGCAAATGCCTGGTACTGATAGCCAAAATGTCTGTCCCACTACTGGGTTGTTGTAGGTTTTTCAGGCTGTATGGCCATGTTCTAGAAGCATTCTCTCCTGACGTTTCGTCTGCATCTGTGGCAAGCATCCTTAATACAACCTCTGAGGATGCTTGCCATAGATGCAGGTGAAACGTCAGGAGAGAATGCTTCTAGAACATGGCCATACTGCCAGAAAAACCTACAACAACCCAGTGATTCTGGTCATGAAAGCCTTCGACAATGCATTGTTCCACTACTGCATTATCATCTGCATTGTAAATTTCTAGATCCCTCTTTAGCAAATTATATGTGAGTCAGCATGGTGTAGTGCAGTAGTTCTCAACCTGTGGGTCCCCAGATGTTTTTGGCCTTCAACTCCCAGAAATCCTAACAGCTGGTAAACTGGCTGGGATTTCTGGGAGTTGTAGGCCAAAACACCTGGGGACTCACAGGTTGAGAACCATTGACATAGGACACCAGTGGTGCAGTGGGTTAAACCCCTGTGCCGGCAGGACTGAAGACCGACAGGTCACAGGTTCGAATCCGGGGAGAGGCGGATGAGCTCCCTCTATCAGCTCCAGCTCCTCATGCGGGGACATGAGAGAAGCCTCCCACAAGGATGATAAAAAACATCCGGGCGTCCCCTGGGCAACGTCCTTGCAGACAGCCAATTCTCTCACACCAGAAGTGACTTGCAGTTTCTCAGGTCGCTCCTGACACAACAAAAAAAAAAGTGGATTGAGTTCTGAACCGCGACTCTGGAATCAGAGTTCAAATCCATGCTTGAACATGGAAGTGCATTGAGTGACTGTGGGCCAGTCCCACTCTCTCAGCCTCAGTGGAAGCCAAAGGCACACCTCCTGTGAGCAGTTCTTGCCAGTGAAGCCCAATAATGGGGTCAGCAGAAGTCAGAAACAACTTCAAGGCACACAACAACAACAAGTGAAAGTCACAAACCAAAGAGGTTGCTCACCTGTTAGTCGTCGTCTGTAAGCCCACACATCCTCCCCAGTGTCTCTTCCATGTTTATTCCTACTGTGTTTCCACAGTGCATTTGGAAATTGGAAAGGCTTCTGCCAGAAATGGTTGCAAAGGCACAGACTACCCGCTGTGTGTGGGTTCACAGATGACCGCTTGAGGAAGCACAGGCACAGGTCACCTGCTGACCACATGAACATTCAACCTCTGGCAGTACAACCTGCCAGCTCAATGTGGGTTCTCAGGGTGGCATTCTACTGAAACAACATCAAACAGTTTAAAACAATTCCAGATTTAAAAACACAATGGACTAATTTAAAATGGGATGAAAGAGTATTAAATAAACAAAACAGCAGAAAAGACTAAAGCAATTTGACAATTTGACTGAAAGTAGTGGAAAACAGGCAGAAATAGCAAGTCTATATGTAAGAAGTTAAGTAACTGATAATAATTTGTACTTAATGTCAAAATTAAATGGTTGATTGACTAAGGTAGATAGGCATGTACATATCAAAAATATTGTAACCTGATTATATTTGCCACGATTTGCTTTTCTGTTATGTACCATAACAAAAATAAACAGTTTATTTTTTTAAAAAGACTAAAACAATGAAAACCTTATATACATACACTTTAAGAAGTAACAAGATTCAGACCCAAAGCTTTTAATAGGGATATATTCAGTGTTTTCATTTTAATGTTGAATACCTGGAAATATAATGAGAGGAGAAAGTCAGAAATGACCCCCCAGTGTAGGTAGTTTGAAAGCATTCCAGCTATAACGTCAGGAGAAATGCCTCTAGAACAGCGGTTCTCAACCTGGGGGTCGCGACCCCTCAGGGGGTCGTTTGGCCATTTTTTCAGGCTATAGAGCCATGTTCTAGAGCAGCGGTTCTCAACCTGGGGGTCGCGACCCCTCAGGGGGTCGTTTGGCCATTTTCTGGGGGTCGCGAAGCCGCATTGGCTGGCCACGCCCCCTCCAAAATGGCGGCCGACCCCCTGCGCCACTGGCATTCCCCCGCGCGAAGCCATCCGCCTGTCCCTCATCTCCTTCTGATGGCAGAAGGAGGCGAGGGACGGGCGAGCGGCTCCGCGGGCGGCTAGGCCACACGCGAAGCCATCTGCCTGTCCCTTGCTTCCTTCTGATGGCAGAAGGAGGTGAGGGATGGGTGAGTGGCTCCTTGGGCGCCCCTCGCCTGCTCTGCTCTCCCGCCGGCCGGTGGGGGGGCGGAGCAGGCGAGGGCCTTTGGAGCAAGGCCTTCTCCAGGTGCCCTTGCCTGCTCCGCTCTCCCGCCGGCCGGGGGGGGGGCGGAGCAGGCGAGGGCCTTTGGAGCAAGGCCTTCTCCAGGCGCCCTTGGCTGCTCCGCTCTCCCGCCAGCCGGCGGGGGGGCGGAGCAGGCGAGGGCCTTGGGAGCAAGGCCTTCTCCAGGCGCCCTTGGCTGCTCCGCTCTCCCGCCAGCCGGCGGGGGGGCGGAGCAGGCGAGGGCCTTTGGAGTAAGGCCTTCTCCAGGCGCCCTTGCCTGCTCCGCTCTCCCGCCAGCCGGCGGGGGGGCGGAGCAGGGCCTTTGGAGTAAGGCCTTCTCCAGGCGCCCTTGCCTGCTCCGCTCTCCCGCCGGCCGGCGGGGGGGGGGGCGGAGCAGGCGAGGGCCTTGGGAGCAAGGCCTTCTCCAGGCGCCCTCGGCTGCTCCGCTCTCCCGCCGGCCGGCAGGGGTGCGGAGCAAGCGAGGGCTCTTCGTTGCAGGTGAACTATAAATCCCAGCAACTGCATATCCCAAATGTCAAGGTCTATTTTCAACAAACTCCACCAGTGTTCACATTGGGGCATATTGAGTATCTGTGCCAAGTGTGGACCAGATCCATCATTGTGTGAGTCTGCAATGCTCTCTGGATGCAGGTGAACTACATCTCCCAAACTCAAGGTCAGTGCTCACCAGACCATTCCAGTATTTTTCGTTGGTTGTGGGAGTTCTGTGTGCCAAGTTTGGTCCAATTCCATCATTGGTGGAGTTCAAAATGCTCTTTAATTGTAGGTGAACTATAAATCCCAGCAACGACAACTTCCAAATGACATAATCAATTTTCCCTCCAACCCCACCAGTATTCAAATTTGGGTGTATTGGATAACGTAAGGTAAAAGTTTTCCCCTGACATTAAGTCCAGTTGTGTCCAACTCTGGGAGTTGGTGCTCAATTTCTAGGCCAAAGAGCCGGTGTTGTTCATAGACACCTCCAAGGTCATGTAGCTGACATGACGGCATGGAGTGCTGTTTTTGGGTATTTGTGCCAAATTTGGTCCAGTGAATGAAAATACATCCTGCATTTCAGATTTTTTACATTGTGATTCATAACAGTAACACAATTATAATTAGGAAGTAGCAATAATAATAATTTTATGGTTGGGGGTCACCACAACGTGAGGCACTGTATTAAGGGGTCGCGGCATTATGAAGGTTGAGAACCACTGCTCTAGAACATGGCCCTATAGCCCGAAAAAAACCTACAAGAACCTAGTGATTCCAGCCATGAAAGCCTTCGACAATACATTCCAGCTATAGTTTGTGGCTCCAGCTCCGTCCACAGGAGGGCAGCAGAGTCAGAAAAAAGGCCAAGTTCCTTCTTACATTTCAGTTTTTAGATTTGTTAAAAGTGAAGGTTTCTTGCAATTTTTAGATATCTATAAATCACAAGAGGTAGTTTAATCAGGTTACTCAGTAATGCTGTTATTTATTTTATTTATTTACAGCTTTTCTATTCCGCCCTTCTCACCTCACAGGGGACTCAGGGCGGATTACAGTGTACACATATATGGCAAACATTCAATGCCAATTTTTGACATACAAACATATACAGACATACACAGAGGCTATTTAACTTTTTCTGGCCGCCAGGGGAGCTGTCGCTTTCATCGTCCATCTGCGACGCTGATGAAGTACTTCCGCATTCCCCGCATGCTTCCCCGCTGGAATGCTTTGCTGGAGTCTTCTTTATGGCCTCATAAATTAGTTAATTTAGCCTCCCCACACTTTAAGGTGGTACCTAATTTTCCTACTTGACAGATGCAACTGTCTTTCGGGTTGCAAAGGTCGACAACAGGCTACACAATTGGTTGGAAACCCACTCCAACCCAGGCTGGCTTCGAACTCATGACCTTTTGGTCAGAGTGATCTTAATGCAGCTGACACTCAGCCAGCTGCGCCACAATCCCGGTGTTAGTACTGGAATGGATGGGGGAGAGATGGGAGAATGTCCACACAGCCATTGGAGCTAATATTCAAAGCAAGAAAATGCAGGCAGCATCAAATATTTATTTTTTATTTATTTATTTAAAACATTTATATTCCACCCTTCTCACCCCGAAGGGGACTCAGGGTGGAGCACAGCATATACAGAGCAAACTTTCAATGCCGGGACACAGATTCACATACAATACATAAACATTAAAAAATATATTAAAATATAGCATTTAAAAACGTCCTAGTCATCCGCATCAAGTCTAATTGGCCTGGTCATCTTTCCTATTGCTGCTTTATTGCCCTGTCCTGAAAGCTTGGTCCCACAGCCAAGTTTTTACCATCCTTCTAAAGGACAGGAGGGAGGGGGCCGACCTGATCTCACCAGGAAGGGAGTTCCATAGCTGGGGAGCAATCACCAAGAAGGCCCTGTCTCTCATCCCCACCAATCGTGCCTATGACAATGGCAGGACGGAAAGCAGGGCCTCCCCGGAGGATCTTAATCTCCGTGATGGTTCATAGGGGGAGATGCGTTTGGACAGGTAATGTGGATCTTCTGGAGGGGCCCTGCTCTCGGTCCCACCTCCTTCGCAATTGCGATTGGTGGGAACGAGGGACAGGGCCTTCTCGGTGGTGGCCCCTCGGCTCTGGAACTCCCTCCCGATGGAGATTAGATCTGCCCCTTCCCTCCTGACTTTTACAAAGCTGGTAAAAACATGGCTTTGGAATACTGCATTTGCAGAATGATGACTGAGTCAATAACTGCTGACCACACGGGCGGATGGCAATGAATTTATGATTTATTCTGACGAACTGACCTTTTGTAAGTTGTATAATTGTATTTTAATGTATTTTTGTACTATTGTATTATGATGTTTACTGTGGTTTATCTTATTGTATTTTAAGCCTCTGCTGTTAGCCGGCCTGAGTCCCTCTTCGGAGGTCGAGAAGACCGGGTTACAAAAACTCGAATGCGTTCAGACAGATAAATTGGGCCAGGGCCGTTTAGGGCTTTATAGGCCAAAGCCAGCACTTTGAATTGTGCCCAGTAGCAAACTAGCAGCCAGTGGAGCTGGCGTAACATGGGAGTTGTTTGCTCCCTGTATGCCGCCCCAGTTATTAACCTGGCTGCCTCTCATTGGACTATTTGAAGCTTCCGAGCAGTCTTCAAAGGCAACCCCACGTAGAGTGTGTTGCAGTAGTCTATCCTAGATGTAACGAGAGCGTGGACCACCGTGGCTAAGTCTGTCTTCCCAAGGTACAATAAAAATAAAAATAAGGTCAACCAGGAAGGTCCAAGGGCCATTTTTCACCTGCCTTGTCCTCAGGGCTCTGCACCACCCCTTTATGATAAAACTCATTGTTTTGGGGGGTTTATGGGGTACAGCAAAAAATGTGGGTGCTTTTTTCTGGAAAAGAATAATGCCTATTAGAGGTGCAGAAAAACAGTCTGGCAGGACCATCAAGAAACTACAAAGGCAATTAGGGTTCTTATTTTTAGCTCCAGTTGTGCATGGATCCTCGTGTGGAGGTTCTATGAACTGTTTCCACTTGCAGAACTGCAATTCCTCTTGTGTGGTGCTTCCCAAATGCAGGTGCTGCCAGCATTGGCAAAGGTCTCGGAGGGATGCTCTTCTCGAGATTTGGGCGCGCCACTGCTCCCACTGCGCAGGGACTGGAACCAGGCAAAGAAGGGACCGAAGTAGAGGAGAAGAAGTCCACCATGAACCAAACAACGATCGGGACGCAGACCTTCCCCCATAGCAGCTCCGGCTTCCTGGACCCAACATGTAAGCAAGCTGTCTGGTCTGGCAAACTCCACATTGCCACTCTTGGCTTTACCTTTCACTCTGAAAGAAGGAAAGTCTAAGTCTTTCAACAGAGTTTGGATGTTCACTTCTCAGAAATACTTCAACTATAGAATCATAGAATCAAAGAGTTGGAAGAGACCTCATGGGCCACCCAGTCCAACCCCCTGCCAAGAAGCAGGAATATTGCATTCAAATCACCCCTGACAGATGGCCATCCAGCCTCTGTTTAAAAGCTTCCAAAGAAGGAGCCTCCACCACACTCCAGGGCAGGGAGTTCCACTGCTGAACGGCTCTCACAGTCAGGAAGTTCTTCCTCATGTTCAGATGGAATCTCCTCTCTTGTAGTTTGAAGCCATTGTTCATTGCGTCCTAGTCTCCAGGGAAGCAGAAAACAAGCTTGCTCCCTCCTCCCTGTGGCTTCCTCTCACATATTTAGACATGGCTATCATATCTCCTCTCAGCCTTCTTTTCTGCATGCTAAACATGCCCATATAAATTACTGGACTGGCCAGGGGTTGGACTAAATGGCCATTGAGGTCCCTTTTGACTCCATTTGCTGCCCTCACAGCCATTTAAATGTTTTTCCAGCCATGAAACCCTCTTTTCTGAACAACAGTGATGGTCTTCTGAGGGTAAAATGCGTCATTTGGGTAGTGGAGGAGGCCTGAGGTCCACATGTTTGCTGGACTTTACCCAATTGCAATTATTTGACTCTTAAGAAAACAGGAGCTTGTTTTAGGAATCCCAACTTTATTAATCAACTGGGAAAGGGAAGGACTAGTTTGGCGCAGCTGGGAAGGGAAGGAGCGAGAGCATCTTTCTGAGATGTGTGGAAGGCCTTGAGGATAAAAAAAAATAGTACCTCTAAGACAGTGGTTCTCAACCTGTGGGTCCCCAGATGTTTTGGCCTTCAACTCCCAAAAATCCTAACAGCTGGTAAACTGGCTGGGATTTCTGGGAGTTGTAGGCCAAAACACCTGGGGACCCACAGGTTGAGAACCACTGCACTAAGAAATTTTTTTGTTTACCTATTTGTTGCATGTGTATGCTGTCTTTCTCCCAGAGTGGTGACACAAAGCAACTTCAAAAAAAAATCCACATATCCTCAGGCAAACCCAGTTGGCTTCCAAAATGCCTGTAAAAGAGAGGAATTCTAGTGGAATGGTAGGCTTTAGTTGCAGTTCATTTAGCCATTCTCTTGCCAAGATTTAGTAACTCTTGTTTTTATGACTTGCTAATTTTTCCATAGTTTCCAAATGACCACAAACGTAGGCTTTCCCTCCAGCCAGTAGACTATTAGGAATTGTGGGAAATTATGTCCAAAACAGCTGAAGGTCCAACGTTTGCCCATGACTGCTTGATAAAAAAAAGGAATGCTGTAGAGTCTTAGCATTGGAGGGGGCTCCAAGGCTATCTAATCTAGCCGCCTAGCCTACCATGCCACAATTCACAGCTAATGCACTCCGACCTGTTTGAAATCTGACAACCCTCTATTCCAAACTAGATTGTGAACTTCTTGCTTTCTGTATTGTCAAAGGCTTTCATGGCCGGAATCACTGGGTTGCTGTAGGTTTTTTCGGGCTATATGGCCATGTTCTAGAGGCATTCTCTCCTGACGTTTCGCCTGCATCTATGGCAAGCATCCTAAGAGGTAGTGAGGTCTGTTGGAACGAGGAAATTTATATATCTGTGGAATGACCAGGGTGGGACAAAGAACTCTTGTCTGTTGGAGCTAGGTGTTCTCCTTCAACCAGAGAAGTCAGCCATAGCAGAGCACCTGATGAACCAACCTGGACACAGCATTTTATTTGAGGACACAGAAATGCTGGACCACTCTCACAACCACCATGTCAGGCTACACAGAGAAGCCATTGAAATCCACAAGCATGTGGACAATTTCAACAGAAAGGAGGAAACCATGAAAATGAACAAAATCTGGCTACCAGTATTTAAAAAACCTCTAAAATTACAACAGCAAAACAACAGAGAAGATACAATCAGGCACATCTAATCACCTCTCAACAAAAGATTGCTCCAGGCAATGTCAGGCTATTATATGCTAACCAAGGTGGTCAGTTGAAACATTCCCACCTAGCTCCAGCAGACAAGAGTCCTTTGTCCCACCCTGGTCATTCCACAGATATATAAACCCCTTTTTCCTAGTTCCAAAAGACCTCACTACCTCTTAGGATGCTTGCCATAGATGCAGGCGAAACGTCAGGAGAGAATGCCTCTAGACCAGTGGTTCTCAGCCTTCCTAATGGCATGACCCCTTAATACAGTCCCCCATGTTGTGGTGACCCCCAACCATAATATTGTTTTCATTGCTACTTCATAACAGTCATTTTACTACTGTTATAAATCATAATGTAAATATCTGATATGCAGGATGCATTTTCATTCACTGGACCAAACTGGGCACAAATACCCAATACACCCAAATGTGAATGCTAGTGGGGTTGGGCGAGGATTGATTTTGTAATTTGGGAGTTGTAGTTGCTAGGATTTATAGTTCACTTATAATCAAAGAGCATTCCGAACTCCACCAGCGATGGATTTGAACCAAACTTGGCTCCCATGACCAATGGAAAACATTGGAAGGGTTTGATGGGCATTGACCTTGAGTTTGGGAGTTGTAATTCACCTATATCCAGAGAGCACTGTGGACTCATGCAATTGTGGATCTGGACCAAACTTGGCATGAATACTCAATATGCCCAAATGTGAACACTGGTGGAGTTAGGGGAAAAATAGATCTTGACATCTGGCCATTGAAGTTGCTGAGATTTATAGTTCACCTACAATCAAAGAGCATTCTGAAACCCACCAATGATAGAATTTGGCCAAACTTCCCACAGAGAACCCCCATGAACAACAGAAAATACTGTGTTTTCTGATGGTCTTTGGTGACCCCTCTGACACCCCCTCGCGACCCCCTCAGGGGTCCCGACCCCCAGGTTGAGAAACACTGCTCTAGATCATGGCCATGTAGCCCGAAAAAACCTACAACAACCCAGTGATTCCGGCCATGAAATCCTTCGACAATACAATAATATTGTTCATTTGTCAAGCCTTGGATTCTGACCTGTCCTTCTCTCTTCCCTCCGCAGTGGAGCTAGAGCACAGGATTGACTTTGAGCTCAGGGAAGGCCTGGTGGAGAGCCGGTACTGGTCTGCCGTCACCTCGCACACCGCTTACTGGTCTTCTATGGACATTGCCCTCTTCCTCCTCACCTTCATGTACAAGCAGGAGCAAGAGGAGGATGGCATCAAGCCCCACTTAGACTCTGTTTGATTTTAGCTTGGGGGGTGGGGGGGAGGGAGGGGAGGGGGAGGGGAGCGGGGAAGGATGACACTTGGCCAGCGGCAGGCACGGAGCGGTCTGTTTCCGAGGCACGGTGGTTTCAGGTTTAAATGCATGTCTGGATCTCTTCCTTCTGAGATTGTTTGCTCTTCGAGGCGCGTTTCCAGTCCTCTGCCGGTTGGGGCCTTCTTGAAAGAACGGCTCTCGGTTCCCGCTCTGTCGGCGGCGGACGAACAGACCAGAGGCGGTTGTTTCGGCATCCACGGTAGGGTTGGCACTGTTACAAATTAACCACAACTATTGTTTAACCGAGTTAATTTTTTTGTCCAAGCGCAGAGGTTAGTCCTCCTGAACGGAATTTGTTTTCGTTCTAAGAAAAATCCCCACACTCCTAAAACGGCCATGTTCCATGACCTAGACGGTAAAAAGGGTCTCACCTTTCTGACCAAAGTCTGCTCCTCCTGAGTCCATTGGGATTACTCCTCTCAGGAAGGCAGCAGGCTCAAACAAAGCGTGTGCTAACACCACAACACTCACCCAGATACTAAAACTGGAAAGCAGGCATGAAGCAAATACTTTGAGATACTGTAATTCTAATTTATTTTTTACCTCCGACTCACTGTCGCTTTGTTTTACTCCAGTCCGTGTCCTTTTTTCTACGGTTCCTCTCTCCTCCGTTGTTTTTTGTTTTGTCCTGTTTTTCTCCCGTTTGGGGTCGAGAAGACATACGTTAAAGAACCACATTTATTTTCTACAGTGTTAAGAACAGCTTTATTCCTCAGACGACATATCTTTGTACTATTCCAAAAGGAGCTATGGACACTGTGGCACACTTTTCAGTATTTTTTCATTAAAAATAAACCTTTGTGGACTCACACAAATAACCCTTGTTGTTGTATGTACTTTTCTTCCAAGGCTGTGTTCATTGGGAGACCTGGAGTTTTCTTCGTGAGGTGTAAAATAGCTGCATTGGAATTAATTCTTCAGTGGGGACAGAAACTGAGTCTGGAATCTATACTTCCTCAGTCATCCATCTATTCTATATAAATAAAATGTAATCTTCGTTTGTGGGATTAACAGAACTCAAAAACAACTGGATGAATTGACACCAAATTTGGACACAAGACACCTATCAACCCAATGTATGTCCGTCACTTAAAAAAAATGATTTTCTCATTTGGGAGTTGTAGTTGCTGGGATTTATAGTTCACCTACAATCAAAGAGTATTCGAACTCCACCAACAATGGAATTGAACCAAACTTGGTACACAGTTCTTCCATGACCGACAGAAAATACTGGAAGGGTTTAGTGGGCAGTGTCCTTTGGTTTTGGAGTTGTAGTTCACCTACATCCAGAGATCACTGTGGACTCAAACAATGATGGATCTGGACCAAACTCTACACGAATACTCAATATGCCCAAATGTGAACACTGGTGGAGTTTGGGGGAAAATAATCTTGACATTTGGGAGTTGTAGTTGCTGGGATTTATAGTTCACCTACAATCAAAGAACATTCTGAACCCCACCAATGATAGGATAGGGCCAAACTTGGCACACAGTTCTCCCATGACCAACAGAAAATACTGGAAGGGTTAGTGGGCAGTGTCCTTTGGTTTTGGAGTTGTAGTTCACCTACATCCAGAGATCACTGTGGACTCAAACAATGATGGATCTGGACCAAACTCTACATGAATACTCAATATGCCCAAATGTGAACACTGGTGGAGTTTGGGGAAAATAGAAACTTGACATTTGGGAGTTGTAGTTGCTGGGATTTGTAGTTCACCTACAATCACAAAGCATTCTGAACCCCGATACAACGATAGAATTGGGCCAAACCTCCCACACAGAACCTCCATGACCACCAGAGTGGGCCACAGCAACGCGTGGCAGGGGACGGCTAGTAATAATAATAACACTGTATTTATATTCCGCCCTATCTCCCCAAGGGGACTCAGGGAAGATTGCATACAGGGCAAACATTCAATGCCGTTATTGAATAAACAATACAGAGACAGACAGAACAGAAAGGAGGTATGTTGTGTCAACATCCAGCTTTTTGGCACCTTGGAGGTTGTGCTCAAATCCAGCCATGGTGGGGGTGCTGTCACTCCATCCTCTATGACATAGAATCATCAGAACTTCTTCCTTTCTTTTGTTCACTGGACATTTTCTGATCTTTTTTCCTTATGGTATCGTAAATACTTCCCTCACTTGTTTTAGCGGTATCTAGTTTCTCTACTTACAACTCAAGCTGCTTAGGTCAACAGTGAGCTGGGCTGGCAGTTGGGAGCTCACACCAACCCGGGGTTTTGAACTGGCAACCTTTCAGTTGGTTTTATTTTATTTATCGTGTCATCAGCAACCATATCATTGTATTACAATTCTAGCAGAGCAAAACAAACACACAGATTAAAAAGAAAAAGGAAAAAAAAGTTGGTAGATCTTATCATTGCTGGTGATTTTCCATCTGTGCTAAAGCCCAGCCCAAAGTGAATGCAATCTTACAGAATCATAGGAGCTGCGGTGGCGCAATGGGTTAAACCCTTGTGCTGACTGGACTGCTGACCTGAAGGTCAGCGATTCAAATCCAGAGAGCGAGGTGAGCTCCCCTCTGTCAGCTCCAGCTTCCCGTGCGGGGACATGAGAGAAGCCTCACACAGGATGGCAAAGCATCCTGGCATCCCCTGGGCAACACCCTTGCAGGTAGCCAATTCTCTCATGCCAGAAACGACTTGCACGAAAAAAACGTTTAGGACTCAATGCAACTAGAAAAACGCCACTAGAAAAATACTGGGCTGTATGGCCACGTTCCAGCAGCATTCTCTCCTGACGTTTTGCCCACATCCATGGCAGGCATCCTCAGAGGTGGTTTTAAGGTCTAAGTTGTATCGATTGGCAGATGTATTTCGGACATGTAGTGAGTAACGGCAGCGCTGTCCCGAAGCTGGATATTTGACCCAAAAAGGGCTGCTTGGAGAGCTAATTCTTCCTTATTATGTGCTGGAATGTTAAATGCTGCTGCTTTGTTTTTCATCTCTCTGGAATGCAAGCAGGCATCTCGCTTTTCTATCCCGAGAGTCATGAAATGGACTTAGAAAACAGACTCCATTGAAATCCATTCGTGATCTCTGTTTATCTCTGAACTCTGCCCTTCAGAAGAGCGCTTTTTTGTGGGATGGGATGGAGAGCAAAACTATTGCACTGTGGAATTTTCAAAAATGCAATAGCAGCACTTGAATGTATTTTGCAAAATTGATTGGCAAGGTGGATGGGAGAACTGTGGAAGACCCAAGTTGAAGAGGTGTATGTTCGCTATAGAATCATAGAATCAAAGAGTTGGAAGAGACCTCATGGGCCATCCAGTCCAACCCCATTCTGTCAAGAAGCAGGAATATTGCATTCAAATCACCCCTGACAGATGGCCATCCAGCCTCTGCTTAAAAGCTTCCAAAGAAGGAGCCTCCACCACACTCTGGGGCAGAGAGTTCCACTGCTGAACGGCTCTCACAGTCAGGAAGTTCTTCCTCATGTTCAGATGGAATCTCCTCTCTTGTAGTCTGAAGCCATTATTCCATTGCATCCTAGTCTCCAGGGAAGCAGAAAACAAGCTTGCTCCCTCCTCCCTGTGGCTTCCTCTCACATATTTATACATGGCTATCATATCTCCTCTCAGCCTTCTCTTCTTCAGGCTAAACATGCCCAGCTCCTTAAGCCGCTCCTCATAGGGCTTGTTCTCCAGACCCTTGATCATTTGAGTCGCCCTCCTCTGGACACCTTCCAGCTTGTCAATATCTCTCTTGAATTGTGGTGCCCAGAATTGGACACAATATTCCAGGTGTGGTCTAACCAAAGCAAAATAGAGCATGGGGTAGCATGACTTCCCTAGATCTAGACACTATGCTCCTATTGATGCAGGCCAAAATCCCATTGGCTTTTTTTGCCGCCACATCACATTGTTGGCTCATGTTTAACTTGTTGTCCACGAGGACTCCAAGATCTTTTTCACACGTACTGCTCTCGAGCTAGGCATCGTCCCCCATTCTGTATCTTTGCATTTCGTTTTTTCTGCCAAAGTGGAGTATCTTGCATTTGTCAGTGTTGAACTTCATTTTGTTAGTTTTGGCCCATCATCTCTCTAATCTGTCAAGATCGTTTTGAATCCTGCTCCTGTCCTCTGGAGTCTTGGCTCTCCCTCCCAATTTGGTGTCGTCTGCAAACTTGATGATCCTGCCTTCTAACCCTTCATCTCAGTCATTGACTGTAATAAAGTCTTGACTGTAATAATTATGTGCCTTGAAGGATGGTGGCTTCTCCCTATTTTGATAGCCTTGTTTTGGGAGTTCTTTCTTTCGGGGACGGTCCAAATAGCAGGGAGTGCCATATACCAGATTTTTATGTGAGCGAGTATGCCTCTCATGGCTCCGTTTTGACCTGCCTCCAAATCCTCCAGCTAGAGGACCGACCGGGGCTGCTCCGATGCTTTCCTCTGATCTGCTTTTGTATTTATATGGCCAGGAAAGCCGCCTGTTTTATCTCTGCCCTTTAATAGAAGACAGTGAGTCACGAGGCCTCGCTCCAACCCGGGTTTGGGCCAGAGGAACGTTCAGTGCATTGTCTTAGGAGCTCCTGGGTTTTTAATTAACGAAGGGAACGGCGCTTTCTCTTCCTGCTTATCACCCCCTCCCAAAAAAAACAACCCTGCTGATTCACCTTTAAAATACATTATCTGGTCAAGATGTATTTCTGCATCTTTTGTGTTCCAGCATTCTCTGGTTAAGCAATTTCCCTCCACTTTCCCTCCCTGGTAAATATTTGCTTCCAAAAACTATGGCTCTCCTGTAAATCATTTTCTGGCATGTGATCCTTGATCTAAAGTTGTGTTGAACTTTGTGGGTTTGTTCTGGTTAGTTAAACAATTCAAAGGGGTGCATTGCAGGCACAGGGCTGACTCCACCATTTGCAAAGATGGAATATCTGAGTGTCTTTTTTGTTGA